GGCTTCGTTGCACCACCTACACGGGACCCAGTTCTCACTGTACCCTGCACAGATGCGCCACTGGTTGACAACACATTGTTGTCTATGTGGAAAGTTGATCATCTCACATGCTGCCCTGGTCCGCCATGTCAGGAATCGTCATAGCTCCTTTCGTGCACAGCTGCAGGAGGACTGGGATGTGCAATCTCGTCGGTGGATTAGCTCACTTCCATGCGATGCTTGTGGTGCCCGACCTGTTTTGGGCTTTGAGCCTTTGCAGCTGGATCATATGTGTCAGCTTGAGCTCAACGTGCGCCTTGGCATGCATTATTACCAGGCTGACTTGCTACCTCGTCGCACCGGCTCAGCTGATGCTCTGATCCTGGCAGCCGCTGCCCCAGTGGATGCTACGCCTGAGGATTTGGTGCCCCCTGACAGAGACGGCCTTGGGGAGTGGTTGCGGGACCACAACTGAGTTGAGTAAGCATGTTTTTGAGCCTGATGGAGTTCTCCCTTTTGGAAGTGAACCCAGGCCAGCTTGTCACTCACGTTTCCTTTCCTCGGACCTTTACTCATGAGGGTTGAGTGTTCTCCTGGGTTTGACCTCAGATTAAGATGTTGAACCTGCCCCTCTTGTCAGACATGACTCAATTGGCCATTTTGGCCTTTGTGCTAGAGGCACCTGAGTGGTGAGCTCACTTTTTGTTTGAGCTCCTGTTCAGGCTCTGTCCTGACCTGCGAGCGAGATCTTTTTGGGTCCGAACGACTTGTGACCACATGAGAGCATCTTCTTTGGGCCGCTCCGGCTCATCGTGTTTTCCTGGGGTTGTGAGCCCGCCAAACGCTTGAGCTCCATCCCCGGAGTTTTCCTTTGTTGGACCTGCCATAGCGGCTTTTGGGTATGGTTTTTGAGCACTTGCAAAGTGCTGAATAGCATAGGGCACCTCGGTGCATTTGTTGAGTCTGAGACCCATCTCAGCCAGGACACTACTGGTCCTGTCGCCCCGTGATTCGTGGACGCCCGCGAAACGACTGAAACTGAAACTGAAAAACTATCTACCTATCTATCTATCTATCTACCTATCTATCTATCTATCTATATTTGCGCAATTCTTTTGTGCACCTAAGGTTCAAGGCTGCCGGTGGAAAGAATGATGAAGAAGTGTCCATTGATCACTTCATTGACGCTTTGGCTGCACCCAACCCCATGAAGAACGCCACCTGTAACAGAGAAGCCTGATCAATCAGAGAACTTGCGGCTTCCTTGGTTCTGCGTGTTAAGTAAGTTGGTTGACCAAGTATTTCCACTTGGAGGTCATCAGCCACGTTTGGATCAAGCCTATGGAGGCTCCCAACCCATTTGCTGGCCGATGCTCAAAGTGACGCAATGGCCGAAGGAAAGCCACAGAGAATGGGAAGCGCTTTGTCCAAACAGAAGAAGGCTCAATGGCAAGCAGCCCTTCTGATTTTGGACGGGCCAAGCTTCCCGGATATCTCCACATGCAAGGTTACAGCTCAGACCTTCGCGCAAAACCGCAGATGGAGAGAGCTCATTCTACTACTCGAGCAGATGTCACAGCGGAGTTTACAGATTGATGTGGTGACTGCAACCAGGTTAGTGAAGTCCTGTGGCCAGGCTCAGAGCTGGGAAGCAGCTGTTTGGATTTTCGATTTGCTACAGCACCTTCGAACAGCGGATGCAGTGCTACGAGGTGCAGCAGTCTCTGCTTGCGCATCGAGCGGCGGTTGGATCGTTGCAGTGGGATTGCTCCGGACCATGCCAGGACTGGACGTAATCGTCTGCAGCTCCGCAATCACTGCATGTGAGCGAGGCCAACATTGGGAAGGAGCCCTTGCCTTGCTCAAAGAGATGCAGGATGGGGTGGTCCAGCCCAACACCATCACCTACAATGCGGCGATGAGCGCCTGTGAGAAAGGAGGCAGCTGGCAATGTGCCTTCGGTCTTTTCGCGGAGATGCAGGAGCTGAACCTCCTTCGCACCGCAGTGTCATATGGTGCAGCGATTGCAGCATGCAGACGAGCCTCCGACTGGGAAAGCGCACTGTACCTTTTGTCTAGCACGGAGCCCAACCAGATCATTTACAGCTCCGCCATGGAAGCGCTTCTGATTGCCCAGCGGTGGCAGTTGGCTTTGCTTCTATGGAACGATGTTCAGAGGTCAGGAGAAAGGGCGGATGCTGCGCTGTTGAGCACGGCAATGAGCGCATGGGCACAGGGAGGTGGCTGGCCACATGCGGTTGGGTTGCTCGGGGAGCTGCAACGATTGTCAATGGCTGACGGCATGGCATACACGAATGCCATCAGTGCTTGTGAAGCAACTGGAAGCTGGGAGGTTGCCTTGCAGCTTTTGGAGCAGATGGAAACTACAAGTTTCATGGACACTTCAGTACCTGCCAGCTGCGTCTTAGCTGTTTTGGCGCAGGCTGCTGTATGGCAGACCGCACTTCTTCTTCTCCATGAGAAGCCTGATTTATCCAGAGACGTCGTTGCTTGCAGTGCGGCTTTGCGAGCTTGTGGTCGAGCTGGAGAGTGGGCATGGGCATTGCAACTTCTGGAGCATGCGGAAGAGAATCAAATCAACAGTACCATCCTTTTCAATGCAGCCATCACTGCTTGTGACATGGGTGCCCAATGGCAACGTGCTTTAGCAGTTCTTTCCCAAGTGAAGCAGCTAGGAGCTCCAGATGACATCAGCTTCAGCGCTGCTATCAGTGCCTGTGAGAAGCAGTGGAGGCATGCACTAGTGCTCTTGGCTGAGATGAGAGGGCTGCACCTGCAACCCGGCACGGTTGCTTTCAGTGCTGCGTTGACGGCACTAGGCCCTGGACAGTGGCCCCGATCACTCATGCTGCTGGAGCAGATGAAGCTTGAGGGGTTGTGCCCGAATCACGTCACCTACACAACAGTCATTTCAATTTGCGGGAGATCACTTTGTTGGGACATTGCCCTGCACCTGCTGCGAAAGATGGAACTGGATGGCTTCACCCCGAGTGCCTTGACCCTTGCCTTGGCACTACCAGCAATGGAAGGTGACAGACCAGTGCAGAACCACGGGGCCTTGCTAGGGGAGTTGGAACAGAAAGCACTTCTCCATTTGAGCTGTGCGCAGCGGGATCCATCAAAAAACCAGTTCGACTTCGACAATTAACAGACTTGGTTTGGTCTTCATGTGGCCTTCGAAAAGAGAACAGGCGAACAGTTTCTTTGACCCACGGGCTTCAGCTGAGGACTGGATAATGCAGACAGACGAGGCTGGCTGGGTGAGTTGGAACTCCTGTGCTGAATCAAGCGGGGATTCGGGTGGATTTTAAAGATGCGTGCTTGGTGTATATTATATATATATATACACAGTATAATATTGTATAATACTGTATATATATAAAGCTGCAGTCCTTTCCAGTGCATTGCCACATCAGTCACATCGCGCTACAAGACATGTGGTTGATGTCGTCCACCTTTGGCTCCAGCTGGCTCAAGCTTCAGCAGAGCGAGTGAGGCTGAGAGCAGTCAACGTCCCCAAACTCGAGTTTTTGAAGCGAGTGACGTGAATGACGAAGGCCGTGTACTACAAGTTGTGGGCGAGCACAGCCAACTGGACACAGCGTAGCCAGTACGGCTGGTACCAGGCAAGCCACGTCGAAGAAACCAAAATGGCAACGCCAGTGTGCACTTTAATTTAGGTATCAGTGTTGCTTGATATGTGGTAGACTCCCCGGTTCCTAAATCTAATGAAAGGAGAAGAACAAGGATTCATGAAGCTGCTCAGGTGTGGTCTCGCTTTGCACCTTGGACTTTCTATGTGGCCGCGCCAACTGCTGCCTGGTACAGCTTTGGCTGGTGGAGCGATGAGTGGAAGAAAATCTTGACTCTCGGCATTTACGAGCCTCCTTCCATCCACTGGGACTACTGCATGAGTGACTCTGGCATGCGATCCCACTTCGTCAAGTACCATGCGCAGTACGCCGGCATCCCATACAAGTGAGGATAGGATAGCGAGGCTGAGGCCCAGAACTGACGAAGTCCTTGGCTCATTCACGGATTGGAAAACAGAGCCGCCGTACGAAGCGCCTTTAAAGAGGCAGCGACGCCCACCGGCCAATGAACATTATATACAGTCAGTTGTATTTCGATATCATATGATGTTGTTGTATTGCGGTAGTGGTGACGATTGTGGTAAAACAGTCAGGCATGACTCACACAGGCACACAATTGATGACTCTCCAATTCATTCTGAAAAGTTGATCGTTTGGAGAGCTTCCGCCATGGCACAGACACTCAAAATGCCGCAAAACCAATCGTGCTCAGCAGGATGATGATGCACCAATGCCGGGAGCGATCCAGGTTTGGCCAAAGAATGTGTTGTTTCGATCCTTGAAGCCAACATTTGAGCAGATTCGATCCATTCGCTGTCCATTTCCGTAGGATGATTCGGAAGAAGAGGACAGAAGATTTGTGGCTGGCTGGCAGCTAAGGGAAGCCATGGCCTCACTAGATTGGATTGCAAGCTGAAATCTGTGGTTGCAGGAGGAAATCAGCCATCCAACCCTTTCGAAGGCCGATAGATTGTGACAAGGGAGAGCCAAGGTTGGATTGCAGGACCTGTGACAGACACATGGATGTGAAGATACAGATCAATGCACCTTGTCACCTCGATCATGCGACGTGATAAGGCCTTGGTTCTTCTGGGGGTACGGGGTACTGGTTCAACCGATTAGGTTTGCGAACGTAGGAGGAATCTGATGTAGGAGTTTGGCAATTGATTGTCGGGCTGTCAAGGTTGTGCCTGAATTCCGGAATTCCAGCCTCAAGCGAAAAGCTTCAGAGAACGAGAAAACACATACCGCATTTACTATAAGTATAGTGTATGGTCAGTTGATGGTGTGTGGCCCAAGAAGGCCGTTTTCTTCGACCCAGGATGCCTTAGAGAGTCGCCAGCTCTCCTCAGAAATGTGAACAACACTATAGAAACTAATTCATCCCAGGAAGATTTGCCTTGCAAACTAGTCACTATACACCATCCCCTGATTCCTTATGGCCGTTGCCGTGGTCTCTGATGCGGAGCAGCCACACTTGGGGAAGTTTTTGCGAGCATCAAAAGCATTTCAGCCCGGTGAATCTTGGATCTCTCAATGCAGCCGTTTGAGTGAAGCGCAGAAGCGGATAGAAGCAGCTCCGTACTGTGGAATAGTGTAGTGGTTGCACTTGCAAGAGCCCAGGATCTGCTGCTTCGTGAGGAGCCCCTGCTGCGGCTCAGGCGTTGGCAGGATGCCCTGGCCGCTGCGAACGCGCTGCGCAAGGCCGGGATGACAGCTGGAAGCAATCCTTGAGCTAGGGCAGAACGTGCCATGCATGTGGTACGCGGCAGGTCAAGGGCTTTGGGTTAATCTTTTTAATGTTCTCGGCCCTGGGATGCCAGGCACAGCTCTTTGTCCCTGAGGGTGAGAGCCCATCCATGAGGCGCTTGCAGCAAGCAACTGCATCTGAGGCTCGGGCTGACAGCCTGGCACAGTCCAAGATCGACAAAGGAATGAAAGTTATTTTTTTTCTGGTGATGAGGTGCCAACGTGACTTCTTGGCAATCGACATTGCCAATCAACACCTGCTGACAACGTAGTGATGTAATCTTCATATATATCTTCACTGGTTTCTCGGTGTTTGAACTGCCAGGCTGACCCTGAAACCGCGCTGTTTGTCCGAAGTGTGGTGCATTTCAACTCCTTTGGAGCGGGCCCATCTGGGCGAGAGCAGGCGGGCAGTGACCAGTCCCTTAGCTCGCTCCGTTGCCGAGCAGCAGGTGGTTTTTCCAACGTTGGCACGAGCCAACCACTCTTGTTTACCCAACTGCGTCTTGGCCAAACATTTGCGGACGAATTCGGATATTCGATAGTTCCTCCAGTTTTGTCATCCACAAATCGTGGGGGGGGGGGCCCCCCCCCCCCCCCCCCCGGAAAAGAAGGGGGGGGGGGGGGTTCCCCCCTCCCCCCCCGGGGGCTTGGTTGGTTGGTGGAGAAGGTGTTTTGCCGCAGGGGGTTCACCTTAAAATGTGATTTCGTGGCAGGCGCAGACCACAGCTACGTAAAACAAGTGCATGTTGAGTGCAAAGAAAACAAAGAGACTGCGCCGGCCGGACTATTTCATCACGTTGCTTGGTTTGTTGCTTCGTCGCTTGTTTTGGTTCATGTTCTTGTTGGTTGTTTGTTGTGGCTTTTGCCGAATGCGCTTGTGGTTACAGTATTGTCGTTGCTGTTGGTCTTTGCTGATTGGTGCCTGTTGACCGAGTATGGTGGGTTGTTTTGCCGCAGGGGTTCACCTTAAAATGTGATTTCGTGGCAGGCGCGGGTGTGGGAGATGAAGTGCAGATTTCGTGGGTTAGCAGACCACAGCCACGTAAAACAAGTGCATGTTGAATGCAAAGCAAACAAAGAGACTGCGCCGGCCAGGGGACCTGCGGGGGGGGGGG